ATTGCCACATGCCGACGATGATGATGACCACAACAACAATCCAGATAATATGGATACTGACGAGGAGGTGGAGGAAGATGATGTACATCAGGATCGTAAAGCTGGTCGTGCCTTACCCTTTCCGCAGCTGCCTGGTCCGGCGTACTTGGAGGGTCCGTGCGATGGAGGGCCGCAAAATTTAGAGTTTATGCGATGGTTCAAGTCGCATATAGCGATGTACATTTGGGAAGGATATGTAAGTTTTTCTGTCAACACGTGCTTTACATAATTCTTATATTATTCATTATTTTTAGCTAACAATACATGCAATATTTTTCAGGAGCGCCGTGAAACTACACGGTGCGAGTCGAGGACCAAAGCACTCGAGGACTACCGCGGCCCGCAGGATAACACGATGATTGCGAGGCTGGAGGCAACAGATCTTTACCACTTACGAGACTGTTTTCTGAAGAAGATGAACAAGAACCTCATGCTAGCTTTCGTGGAGAGGTGGCAGCCGGAGACGAACAGTTTCCACATGCCATGGGGCGAGATGACGATCACGCTCCACGATGTCGCTTTCATCATGGGGTTGCGGCTGGACGGACCAGCAGTTTCTGAAATTCGCCCGGTAGAAGAGTGCTCACAGAGTCTTGCATCTGTATTGGGTCTCGGTCTGATGGACACCAATGACATGTTTCGAAACAAGGGAGTTGGTTGGGTTAAGGTGAGAGATCAGTTGACCCTTCCCTCCGCCACAGACGAGAAGAAGATGAAGGGCTACTTGATGTTTCTGCTTGGGTCTGTTTTGTTTGTAGACAAAACAGGGTGTAACATGAAGCCGTGGTGGATCCATTTTACCAACGATCTCGATAATGTCGGCAAGTATTCGTGGGCTTCGGCATGCTTAGCAAACATGTACCGCCAATTGGGTATTGCCACCCGCGCTGGGATGAACAGTCTCTGTGGATGTGTTATTCTCCTTCTGGTACGTGTAATTATTTATTAGTAATTATTTATTTATTTAAACTTCTATTTTATTTATTTATTCATTGGTGTTTGTTTTCAGTGC